CTTCTAGTTTCTTTCATGTTAATGTGGGTATCTCCGAAGCCCCTATCATTGGGCCTACAGTTATGAACGCAATATTTATGCTGATGACACAACTATTTAATCCTGTCTTAACAGTTAGTCTGATTAGTCTGATAAAATAAAACTGGCAACTGATCTTAAAGATGACATTCAATCAGTTGTTAATTGGGGCAAGAAATGGCTTATAAATTTTAATGCATCCAAATAAAAACTGCTAACTTTGAGTCAACACAGAGAATTATTTTTGCATTTCATCAGTATAGCTGACCAACCTCCTGGAAAGTAAAACATTGTACCTTCTTGGTTTCAGGTTTTCTACTAATATGAAGTGTAATGATCATATTGAATCAGTAGGTCTGTTTCTAGGAAATTTTGTTCATTGTGTCATGCCAGGCAATTTTTCTCACCAGAATCTATCTTGCTTTTTTATAAATCTACCATACAAGCATGCATTGAATATTGTTGCCATATGATCTGGTGTTTATCAAGATTCTTGATAAAAGCCAAAAATGAGTCTGTAATGTTACTGCTCCTGGCATCAGTCCTGGTTTTTCAGTTTCAGTCAATTTCCCATTGTCATAATGTGGCGTCCCTCTGTCTTTTCTATAAATATTTTCATGGTAATTGTTCTAATGAGTTTTCTTCCTTGGTACCTCGACTGCATGAATTTAAGCATAGTATTAGATTGGTTAGGACAGACTGGGTTCTTTAGCCTTGGTTGGCAACCAGTCTACCGCAGAAAGAAATGGCAACCTACTGTGGGGAAAAATCTGCCTCATCAGTCATGTATCGAATGATACATGTTTGCCCATGCGTGTATCACCTATGATTATATCACTTAACTGACTGATTGGCAACTAGGTTTCATTGTTTCACTGTTTCAAGTAGTATAAGTTTTATTTTAATAGTTTATTATAGTTTATTTACTTTTTGTCTATATTTCTGAGATGAGGTATTATGTACATTATTGTACTATTGTCCTCATTTTTGTCACCATATTTATTAGAATGTTTCAGCCGTTGTACACTCTGGCCTTCTTCAGAATGGAATGTTGAACTGAACCCTTTATTTCTGGGGTAGACTGTTCTAGTTCCACATGCCATGTTTAACAGATGTCAGTTATCAGTTATCTCCTGTTAAAGTTCTCCACTGCCTTTACCAGGTATTGAACTCACACTCTCTGGGTCCTGTCACTAGATCTAACTAACGCCTTTATCCACTCTGCCATGTGTCCTTGAGGACATCTGTGAATGAATAACTGTGTAGGAGATAACATATATATTTCTTCTTACTGGAATCTTTATATTTAATGGACTTGTTTGAATAGACATCCTACTTTTGTAATGTGTAATTGACATCTACCAGCTTAACCAACGGAATTATATCTTCTTTTCAATATGCTTTGCCCCTTCAAAATATGTCTCTCCAAAATTTCCTATCCTTTGTAGCTATTAGTAATGTTAATCTTTTTACTATCCCCACCTTGCCCTGTTCTGATCTCCATTCAGACAAGCTCATTAGCTAGGTAAATTTCTGCCACCCTCTGCCCCTCCTGCCTTCAATATGTCCTGTGAGTGTCAAATTTTCCAAGCCTTCTTTCCTCATTATGTGCCCTATAAATGTTTCTTTCTGATTTTAAGTGTCCTTTTTTATTTCCATTTTCATTAAAACTTCCTTGTTACTCCCATGTCCCTTGTATGCACAGCATGCTCCTGTAGAACCACATCTGTTGCCTCAAATCTATGGAAATGGAGCATTAAATGACCTTCTTTGTGGAATTTACTCCTAAGAGAATGCTTCTTCAATCACTACAATCTTAACCTCTTCAAGTCTAGGGTTAACTGTTATCTTTCTTACATATCCCTATAAACTGTGCCTCTTACTCTGTAACCCTCTACATCGAGTGGCTCTTGGGCCTTGTACAGAGTGAACATCATTGTAAAAGAAAATGATTGTTCAACCATTTTTGATCAGGAAACTCCCCTCTCTTTGGATGGCCATGTTCTGCATGAGAATTAGCAAAACAATTCAATACAAGTTATACTCTGGATATAAAACATGTTCATGAACTTGGAAAAACTGTTGATCAAAACAAATCATGCACTCTCTAATGGAAACTGTACGTAAGAATCACTAAGCATAGTTGCAGTATAAACCACACGTATAATGTGGGTGTTGAACAAATATAAATGTGCCTGAGCAGTTGTCTGCAACAGTGACGCAGCAGAGAGGTGTGCTCGGTAAATGATTAGACAGCTATTATGTATTTATACAAGGGTGGATCCACAAATTTGCATCCTAATATGTAATTATTAATTGAATTTTGATATGAAATCAAGTGCCTTCACAAGAAAGAAAATTATACTGATAAAATAACTATTTATTAAAGAAAATAAATGCTTTTTTTAATCTTTATGACTTATTGGTATGTAAATATAAGTTTTACAAAATCTTCTTTTCTTCAAATTATTTTTTATCAATTCACCCCAAGCAAGGGGTTACTAGAGTGAAAGACAATGAGAAGTCTTTAAGAACCAATCTTAAACAGAAAACATGGGATAAACCAGTACTCCTGTTCAAAACAACAGTGAGTTGTGTGAACCTTTCTACACCTAATAAAATAGTTAAAAAAAAATATAAAAGTTCTTATCTGTTCTTAAGAGTTAAATAAATTATATTTCAAAATCTTAATGATTTTAAATCCTTAAAAAGAACTATATTAGCTTTTTGTTTATTTGCAAGGTTTCTCTCATTTCTAGCATCTGTTTTGGAATTACAAAATTGAAAAAAAAAACCCCAAAGTAAATGTTTTCAATTTATACAAACTAGAAATGTACATAAATTAAATTGAGTTATTTATTATTATCGCTTGTTCAGAGTTTTATTTCATAACAAACAATTTTAATAAGATGTTTTATCTTGAAAATGCATTCCAAAACTCATTCCTAACCTTTTTTTTTGCTGAGGTTGAAATTTACAATTATTTCAGGGATACTGAAAAAAACTTTCTCAAAAAAAATTAAACTCTTCCTTATAAAACTAGTTTCTCCATATTGCCAAAAATGACCACATAGTCTTGACTGTTAGGTTTTCACACGTGAATCTTTAAAAACCAGTGCAAAGGAGATAATGCTAATACAGCAAAATGTTACAGCTATGAGAGAAAAAAAGAAGAAATATGTAGCACAATTTTAAGGAATTCATGGATTGTATTTTTAATCTGACATTATTCCTCATTACTGAAAACATTATTTTTAGTGTATACTCATGCTTGAATAGATGCTGTTTTGGGTTTTTTTTTGAAACAGGGACAACAATTTTTTATGGCTTATCAAAATTTGCAGGTTATTTAAAGCCAGAAAATGTTAAGTTCTAAGAGTTTTTGAACATAATTATTTACTGGTATGTCCTACTAATTAAACAGTAGGTGAGGGGAGAAAAGAAGTATTCATACCTTTCCCTTTGATATAATGATCCTGTCTGGAATTGGAGCTCAGCTTTCCAATTTCAAGCATTAATCCGTTAAACCACTAGCACATCCAAGCTTATAGTACTTGGTATTCCAAAGCAGTCACCCATCTAGGTACTGACCAGGCTCTATGTTGCTTAACTTTGATAATTGTATAAGAATCAGCATTTCAACATGATATAGCTGTAAGCCTTTTAAAAGAGCTTGCTCACTTAGTATTTCTCATATGTGGTATCGAGAAACCATGGATCTGCACTCAAAAAGTTATGCCTCAGCTGCTGATAGCAGCGCAGCATCTCTTATGACTGTACAGGCCCCACATGGGTGTGACAGTCTCAATTGCAACAGTATGTGAATGTCAATGGACAACTATTGTCCTCCACAGTTTTCTCATCTTTACTGTGTGAACTGTATTAGGAATTGAGCAACTATTGTCCTCCACAGCTTTCTCTTCTTGTCTGTGTGAACAGCATTAGGATGGAGAACTATTGTACTTTAAGCTTTCTCTTCATCACTGTATGGGCTTAGATAATATATTCTGTTAAGTGGTTACATGAGACAATTTTTTTTTTAGGGAGATGCTCATGTTTGGTTTATAGAAATCTGAGTTTTATTGCTGCTCTTTTTTTTAGATGAAACACCTGCATTTCTCAAATGGTTACTGATATGATACAAACAAGGACGTAAATGTTTGGGTAAGAGAGCAGTGAACTTCTATTTCAATGTACCTATAATCCGGTAAAGGTTACCATAGTTTAAGAAAAAATGAAAATATTTACCACTATAATTTCTTTCTTTTTCGTGCTCTTTGCACACTTTAAGGGTTATGTCCATAATCTAGCATAGACCTTCTGGCAAAAAATAAAGACAACTTATTCTTAATGATAAGAAGAATAAAAATAATAAAAAAAAAAAAGGGAAGAAACAGAACCTCCCATAGGTTGACCTGACCCTTAATTGTCAAGTCATGCCTGAAAGCAAACCAACCTGATAGTTCTTCTCTTTCTCCCTCACTCCACCCATTGCCGTTGTCATCCTCGATACTGCCTAGGCATTTTGGAATCATAAATTGTCTTTGTTCAAGTTCTTCTTCTCTTGCTCCTCCTCCTCCTCCTAATGCTCCTCCTCCTTTTCCTGTGCCTTTCCGGTTCCCTCCTATTTCCTGAAAGCAAGGCGAAAAAGAAACACAAAAGAATCATATTAAACTGCATATTGCATTGAATAAAGTGCAGCTCAGAGGATCCAAAACTAAATAGTGCGATATCATAAATTCTTTAAAAATTTTAAATCAATACACATACCATTATTTTCTACTCCTTGTCAACTTATCACCCCCCCCACTCTTTCTCTTTTATATTCTCTATTTCTCTTTTTCTCCACCTTACTTCATTACATCACTGTCCATCACTCTTATTCTTTCTGTCAGCTCTTTGTTTTTCTTCTGTATGTCTTCTCTTCCAATATATTTTCATCTCAGTTAAGCCTTGTCTATAATTTTCCTATTTCTCTCTTGATGCCACACATTTATAACTCCATTTTCATTTCCCCTTTTCTTCCCCATCCTTTAAACCACTCACCCACTATTTTTTTTCTCATTTCCATTTCTTTCTCTCTCTTTGGGGTCCTACATCTTCTGCTTTTATCTGTACTGTTTCCTTTTTCTTTCTATCTCTTTTTACTATTTCATGTTCTTTTTCTGTACTGTTTCCCTTTCCTTTCTCCCACTTTTGATTCTTTTACGTTCCTTTATCTGTACTGTTTTCCTTTTCTCTCTCTCTTTCTCTTTTCTTTCTTTTTCTTTTACTCTTTCACCTTTATGTATCTGTTTCCCTTCTCTTTCCCTTTTGAGTCTTTCATATTTTTTATCTGTACTGTTTCTCTTTCCTTTCTCTCTCTTTTCACTCATTCATCTACTTGTATCTGTACAGTTTTGCTTTTCTTTATTTCTTGACTTTTTCATCTTTTTTTTTTTATCTGTACTGATGGTCTTCATCATATGTTCCTTCTCTTTATTCCCTAAGTTTTCTCTCTCTGGCAATTTTCCAATCCTCCAAATTTTTTCTCTTTTTTTTTTTTTTTTTTAGACTTTCCACTTCTATTTACTTTTAAACAAATTCTCCATGTCTATCATCACTTTACCTTCCACTTCTTTCTCCCTCTCAATCTTTCTCAGCCTTACATACACTTGTTCACTCTCTTCTTAATTTTTTCTTTTGCTTGCTTTTCTTCTTTGTTAACAATTTTTCTTTTTACTACCTTCTCATTTGCTTCTTTGCTTTCCCTCTTTGTTTTATGCTTGACTACCTTTCATCATCTCTTAATTCAATGCCCTTCTAATTTCTTTTCTCTACCACACTCTCTTCTGTACTCCACCCTCTATCAGTCCTTCTCTTTTTTCTAA